GCCGTGCCCAACAACCTCCTCCTCTCTCTCTCTCTCTCGGACACACACACACACACACACACAACAGGACAAGAAGACAGACGAGAGGAAGTACCGCGACGACCAAACCGGCAACAAGGAGGACAGGGAGAACAGAGAGGGTGAGTGGCACTCACCRTGTGATGGCAGGCGTGCAAACTCCAAGCAGCATGAGGAGTGTTTGCACTGCAGCAGCTTTCTCCGCAGTGACGCGTCAACAACAATGTAGTGATGGCGCGTCAACAAGAACCCATTTCGAATTCAAATTTGCAGGCGTTGATACTACGGGGGCATTACAAAAAGATGACTGCCCCTCATGAGGGCATATGGCACGGGGCCCGATGGAAATGGGACCACCAGTCCAGAGAAGGCATCCCAGAAAGTTGCACCCCGACCGACAGGGGCCTGTCAGAAAGACTTTTGGCCCCAGGGCACAACAGGGTAAGTCGGCCGTCGGAGGGGCACCATGCAAAATAATGGAAAATACAGGGGTGCCAGACAAATTTTCCCTTGATTTTTCATTTTATTTTTAATTATACAAGCTGAGAACCAAGCCTGGCATCCCTTAACAATGTTGTCGTGCTCCCCCAACGGGATGGCATCAACTCCTGTTTTTTTTGTTTTTCCCCCCTTCTATACTCTTTATAAAGGGAACAGCGGGTCTCGCGCGATGCTGCGAGCCAGGGCTCCCTGTGTTGGGAAAATGGCTGGAGACAAGGCGCGGGCCCAAAGGAAACCCGCAGAAATCACAGGTTTTTTTTCCTTCCATCCACACGAGTTCAAAGGCCGGCGTGCTGCAGTGGAGGCGCTTTGGGGTGAAGGGGCACCGTGTTTTTTTTTCCGCACGCTTGCATGAGTTCAAGGGCTGGCGAGAAAAAAATTGCGTCTGTGACTGGCGCCGAGTAGTTTCTGGAACGGAAGCAGACCAACGGGCGGCATTGGGAAGTCAGTGCAGGGGCGGGCCCGCGTACGTGCATACGTATGGATCGAGGTGTGCTATGGAAGCCACCATCTGGCGATTTTTCTGGGGCGGTGGGGAGTCTACCAAAGAGCGCGAGCCCCCTGCGTTATGCGCCGACATGTGTGAAGTTGCAAACCCTCCACGTGACTATGGATCCATGTAACAGAGTGTTTGGTCCATTTTTCCTGATGTGTCAGTGAAAATCCAACCGCGCCGCATTTCTTCCTACCCCCCACCCTACCAATGGTCATTGTCCTCCTCTTTTCGCTCCCGCCTGTTGCTACCCAGACCCCCGATCTCGTCCTCCTGTTCGTCGACCTCCTATTGCTGCTCGTCGTCCTCCTCTTCCCCCCCCCCCCCCCCCCTCCCTCTCTCTCTCTCCCGTAAGGCTGAGCTCCACTTCATCTTCTGTTCTTCTTCTTCTTCCCTCTTCACGCCTTCCTCCTCCTCCTCCTCGTGCTCCTCCCCCCCTCCTCCTCCTCCTCCTCCTCTCACGTTTATAAATTTTTACTTATTTGTTGTCAAAAAAGGGGAAATCGTAGAAGTCATGTTCCATCTCAGAAAATGGGAGTATGTTCCTCCACTTCCTCCACCTCCTCCTCTGCTTTCTCCGCTTCCTCGGCGTCCTCCGCTTCCTCGGCGTCCTCCGCTTCCTCACCGCCTCCTCGTCCTCATCATCCTCATGTTCAATCTTCTTTTTTTCTTAATTTCGACCATCTCTCGATTTATGTGTGTCATCCTTGCTCAGGGGCCATGCTAATGTTCTTTCTATCATTCCAACTGTAGGGGATATCTCATCCCGCCTCCTGCTCCTCTTCCTCTTCCTCCTCCCTCCCCTCCACCTCCTCCACCTCCTCCACGTCCTCTGCTTCCTCACCTCCTCCTCCTAATCTTCCTCCTCCTCCCGCTCCCGCTCCTCCTCTTTCCGGTTCTCCTGCAATTCCCACTCTTCCAGCTCCCACTCCCGCTCCCGCCCTTCCTGCCACTCTCTCTCCTCCTCATCCGCTCCCGCTCCTCCTCCCCCCACTTCTCCTGCACTTCCCACTCCCGCTCCCGACCGTCCTGCCACTCTCTCTCCTCCTCGTCCACTCCTCTTTTTCCTCCCCCAACTTCTCCTCTGTTCCTCCATCCTCCTCCTCCTCATCCTCCACTTCCTCCGCTTTATTCGCTTCCTCACCTCCTCCTCCTCATCGTCCTCTTCCTCCCGTTCCCAATCCTCCTCTTGCCATCCCGCTCCTCTCCTCATCATCCTGCTCCCGCTCCTCCTTCCACTCCCGCTGCTGCTCCTCCTGCTACTCCTTGCTCCAGTCACCTCTTGCCTCCATCCTCCTCTTCTCCTCTTCCCTCCTGTCGTATGCCTGATCATCATCATCATTACCTTGATCGTCATTTTCCACCGTCCACGCAGACTCCCTCTCGTGTCATTGTCCTTTTCAACTTCCTCCTCCATTCCCCCCACCCCCCATCATTTTCCAATCTCTCATCCATTCACATTTCGTCGAATGATCAGGCTTGGCTTTTGGGAGAGACGGTCGAGATGAGAAAGTGGAGGAGGAGGACGGGGGGAGAGGAGGAAGAGAAGTGGGAGGTCGAGGGAAGAGCAGGAAAAGGAGGAGGAGGAGGAGTGCAAGGTCAACGTTCAGTTGCAGTTGGGGCTTGATGGATAGTCAATCCCGGATTGTCCGTAAGATCCTGGCATGAAACCTGTTATTCTTTGTTTTCAATAAAAGGCAACGGCCTTGAGATATCGCCTTTGAACCGACCAGCCATATCATCTGATTCCATTGGAATTCGAATTCAGGTCCGCATTTGAACAATTAATGGGACCATGCAGGGGCTGCTCCCGACCTGCAGGTGGGCAATACCGGCCAGAAGACAGCCGGTAGCATCAGGGACCATGCCAACAGGACCAATCCCTGTGCCTCCCCTATGAACATCAGCAGACTCTGCTCCATGCAGATCGGGGGATCCAGTGGTCCATCTCTTTTTTTTTTTTTTTTTT